AATATTTTTCAGTGGAGGAAAACTGATCCTTATAAGTCATCCAGTGACACAAATTTATAAGACAATTTGGATACTGGGGAAAAAAGAGAACCCATTTACCTCAGAATTCTAGGAGTTCCTGGAAGTTCGTGTCAGATAAACACCTTGCTCATAGTGTAGCTTTCTGGAGGAGGGAACTTCACATCTGCAGTCAGCTTTTCTATAGTACAATCACCACAGCAGGTTGCTAGAACATGATATCACAGCTACTGACCTAGAAAGGAATAGACATGTGGAACCAACAGATACTTTCCTGGATTCTAAAAGCTGATGACTTTAGCATGATATTTCTATGGGTGGCATCTAATTCAGCAGTGCTGGTTAAGCAGCTTGTGGGTGTAGGTGGACACCACATAGGTAGTTCTTAGATTCTTAATTCAAAGGATTTTGCACAGAGGAACATCTCAGTAGATGGAATGCCTCGAGGCAAAATGATTGATGGCAAAATGATCTTTATGTCGGAACTTTTGATGTGAGCTAATTTGTATGAACATAACCTCTCAAACAAGGAAAAGCAAAGACATTTGAAACCCCTGTACAGAGATTTCGTGAAAGAACCTGCACTAATAGCTCTCATCATGATTTGTTGTATGTAGATAATTGTTTTCTTATTTCCAACTCCCTAAGATACTATTGTTGTGGAAAGAATGCTCAGTGAATTAGAATTAATTCCTTCTTTAAAGCCAGATGCAATTGTATAAACACTTCTAGCTTCATTGAACACTTTGGTACACACAAGGTGGGATCCATCATTGATACCCCCCCACACACACACACCTTTGTTCTGAGAATTACAGGCAGAGAGATTCCTGCACTATATCTATTCAGGTCTCCTGAGCCGTTTGGTCCCATTATAGTGGTGTTTTACATTATTTCCACCTATTGTTAAACACCTAATGCCAGCACATCATAGTAAACAGAACATGTTTTTCTTGTACTTCATTCCATCTTCTTTCAACTAAAACCAGAACATGTTTTATTTATTTGTTTGTTTGTTTGTAAATTTAAATGGAAAAAGAACACTGATCCTGTTTAGCAACCAAGCTAGAGAAGGATTTAACATCCCAGAATAGTGATGGGAATCTGCTTATGTTTATTTATTTTATTTATTTATTTATTGCATTTATATGCCGCCCATCTAGACATGGTCTACTCTGGGCGGCTCACAACATACAAATAGCAAACAATTTAAAATATACACAATTTACTGAGATAAAAACAGAAAAATATATAATCAAAGAACTTACAATTTTTAACAATCAATTTAAAGCAAAGCAAAGAGTCCCAAGATGGCATGAGTTAAAAGGAAAGAAATAAGAAATAAGCATCACTTAATTAACTGTAGGGAAGGTCTGCTTGAATAGCCAAGTTTTCAGTTGGCTTTTGAAGATGCCCAGCAAGGGTGCCAGCCAAATTTCAGTAGGGAGGGTGTTCCACAGCCAGGGGGCCACCGCCAAGAAGGCCCAGTTTCTCGTTTTTTCCTTCCGGGCCTCCCTCGGCATCAGACCCCTCAGCCATCCCTGCTGGCTATGTTGGGTGATTCGGGTAGATCTGGGTGGGAGAAGACGATCTGCCAGATATTGAGGTCCCAAACTGTTTAGGGCTTTATATGTAATCATTAACACTTTAAAGTCAACGCGGAAACGGACAGGCAACCAGTGCAGAGCAGCCAGAGTGGGGGAGATATGTTGGTGCTTTCTCACCCCACTACGAAGCCTGGCTGCCGCATTCTGGACCATCTGAAGTTTCCGTGTCAGCCTCAAAGGGAGCCCCACATAGAGGGCGTTACAGTGGTCCAATCTTGAGATTACGAGCGCGTGGACTAGAGTAGCGAGAGCCCCCCCATCAAGATAGGGTCGCAGCTGGGCAATCTGCCATAGATGAAAATAGGCAGAGCGGACCACGGACGCCACCTGGGTTTCCATGGTAAGCGCTGGGTCCAGATGTACCCCCATGCTGCGGACCACCCTTCTGGGGACGGTCCTCCAAGAAGGAACGGAGCCAGGCAAGCGCCAGGCCACCGACTCCCAACTCAGAGAGCCTCCCCAGAAGGATACCGTGGTCGACGGTATCAAAGGCCGCCGAAATGTTGAGGAGGACCAACAAGGACATATTGCCCCCATCAGCCTCGCTCAACAGGTCATCCATCAGTGCAATCAGTGCTGTCTCTGTACCACAGCACGGCCTGAAGCCCGACTGGAATGGGTCCAAGGCATTGGTTTCGTCCAAGAGTGCCTGGAGCTGATCTGCCACCACCCTCTCAACCACTTTGCTAAGGAAAGAAACATTGGCGACGGGCCTATAATTGCCAAT